TGAAAAAGGTGATTTTTCAGAGAGGCTTGTTTAGGTGATGAAACGACCGAGACCACCAAGGAAACAATGACCACCTGACCTGAAAACTCGGGATAGAGTAGGGAGGAAGACTGAGAGGCTGCAGCGTGCTTCATCTGAGGCTTGTTTTGTGTCTGACCTCTGAGAAATCATTGAGTAAAATGTCTGTTTTATGCACCTTTCTGTATTTGTTATAATATTCCACAGTTTTTAAAAGATTTTAATTATTAAAAAAAGGAGGTCCTGGCCGGGTAACTCAGCTGCTTAGAGCATCGTCCCGATACGCAGGTTTCAATGAGCGAAATAAAGAGATGGGAGAGGGACAGGGCTGGGAGGACTGGACGCTAAACTCAGTGTAGTGTGTCCCAGAGGGAGTGAGCAGCGTGGAGCTAACACCCAAAGCCATGCTGTCCTGACAGAATCTCCCAGGAGGGGAGAGTAGAACCCAGGGCGGAGACCTGGGCCACCCTACACTAAACTGTATCTGGGTTAAAGCTGGCAACCCAGGTGGGAAGAAAACCAGCAGAACTACATGTTCCTGAGAAGGTTGTCCTTGGAGTAGGAGGGAGGAGTCCATCATGACAAATTTGACAGACTCCAGTGATCCAGAGAGTACTCTGGCTCTGCCCGAAGTCACCGAGGACTGCGGGGGTGGGCTGAGGTGAGGATGGGAGGTGAGGAGGCAGCTGCAGGTGTGGTCAAGGCTTTTTGCCATGAAGAGAGAACAGTGGGGCAGGAGCTTGAGGAGGAGCTTGGAGTTTCTGGCCCATTGCTTCTGTTTTCTCCCTAAAAGCCAAGGGAGGCCATTCATTGCCTGGCTGGTGTGGCTCAAGTGGTTGAGTCGACTCATGCACAAGCCCCAGTTGCACGCTCAGTCCCCAGTGGGTGATGTGCAGGAGGCCGCAGATTAATGTTTCTATTTCTCTCTCCCTCTCCCTTCCTCTCTCTCTAAAATCAATAAAAACATATTAAACAAACAAACACGCGAGGCCACTGCTGAGGGGGGCAGGGGCGCAAGAAGTTAGAGGACAGGGCTGAGGGCCAGGCAGCAAGCCCTGCCAGGAGCTTGAAGATGAAAGGAGGCACTGAGAGAGCTGGCCTCAGGGACGTAAGTAACCAGGCCCCAGGCAGGAATGGGCCAGGGCAAAAGAGGTCGTCCAAAGATGAATGGGGCAAGAATTGGACCAGGAGGCCAGGCAGTTGGGGAGCCCAGGGCAGTGCCTGTGGGCAGTTGCTGCTCCCTTGCTGCACTTTGCCCCTCCCAAGCAGCCCTGGCGGGTGGGGTGAGCCTAGAGTCCTCTGAGATCAGCATCTCTCCACATCCCCTTTCCTGCCTGTTCCTTAAACAGAGCTAGGCGGTCTTGCTCAACCCCACCCTCCCTGGCCTGGAGTCCTCCCAGTGGCCCCAGCGCGTGGCTCAAGGGTGGGACGTGCAATTGCATGTAGGGAACATGATGTTCCCACCAGGACAGGGTGTCCCCGGATGCCCCCCCTCCACACCCACAGCCCTGGGATGTCAGCCTCGGGGAGGGGCTGACTGCAAACCGTTCCGAAGATTTTATTTTTCCCAGAACAAAAGGCAGGAAAATTTCTAAGAAAAGATCCCCCAGGACCAGGGTGGAGGCAGCTCAAAGCACACCCTGTCCCTGGCACAATCAGGCAGTGAAGAGCCCAGGGGGCACTCTGGGAAATCCCCATCATGCTGGAAAGCCTGCCTGGTCTCAGCGGCACTCTTAATGTACATTTAGGTCGTAAACCTGGACCTGGAACCAGTTTCTGGAAGCAGAGGCTTGCCCATGGGCTATAAAACCAGCTTTACACGTTTATGGTTTTCAGTTGTGTCGCCATCTCTGTCAAGGACCGGGGGCTGCTTTTGCTGTGAGCCAGAGATTCCCGGCCTGAACAGAGCACAAGAGGAGAGACCACACCAGCCACTGGACCCCAGCCCCCTACTGTATGTAGGTGGAATGGGCAGGGGGGGTAGTGCCCTCCCATAAACCTGGCTCGTTTACTGAGCAGCAAGCCAAAAGGAGGCTCTGTGTAAGGCTCCAACTCATCCTTGTCTGTGGACCCAGGGCAGGAGGAACTGCCAGTTAGGTGAAACTACCTTGAATTCTGAGGTAGGGCAAACGTGGGTATTTTGTATGTTGACCCACAATGGCAGCCCCGAGTTCAGGATCTGGGGGTCACGTGCTGTCCACCCCCCAGCTCCTTCCTGGTTGGGGAGAGGCTCTGGCTTCCGAAGCTGCCAGGGCTGCAGCTGCCAGTGGCAACAACCCCTTGTCAATTCCAGGCTGATTCCTGGGGGCATGTGAGCTTGTGTGTTGGCCTCATTTCTTACTCCATGGATAAGCCTGGCTGCACAGCTCTGGAACGGAAGGCCAGGGTCCAAGGTGGCTCACGAGCTGTTCCAGCTTGCCCGGGACTGATGCCTGGGACATCTGCCTCAAAGGCCTCTTCCCCCCAGCCCCGCAGGCCCGAGACTCAGCTCCAGGTCTCCTGCTTCTCTATCTGCCCGGACTGGGATCAAAGCAGGCATGGGAATGTGTATTGCACATGTCCCTTCATGCCCAGGCTTTCATTTTCATGAAAATGTCCAGTTTAACTATGCTTGGATGTTATGCTGGAAAGAGCTGGTTTGCTTATCTTGTGGGTCTGGACTATAGCTCTAACACCACCTGTACACCCCTGCTTCCTCATTCTGGTCAGAAAGGAGATTGCTAGATCCTGGCTGCCTGCAGAATACACAGTGACTTTTCACCCTTGGCTCAGAGCAATCCTGCAGAGGAGGAAGGGGTGGGGCCCATGGCCAAGGCGGCCATGGGGATTTTAGCTGGTCCTATCTGTTTCAAATGCCCACTCTCGTGCCTGTCAGGATGGACTGATTGAGGAAGAACAGTGAAGAATAGTGAAGTCCTGCTGGCTTTCCAAGTGTCCCAGTCCCCCTTTGGTTTCACACTCTGGCCTGGCCAACCTCCTTTATAGCCTCTGCAGTCTACAAATGAGCTGGGCACTGCTTCACCCTGTGTACTTGAGGATAATCCAGATAACTGGTTTTATAGGATAGAGAGATGTGCCCACAGGATCAATGATTCTGGCTGGGAAGAAGCCAAAGAGGAAGGGGTAGAAATGTCACATGGAAAAAGACATTTTAAGAAAATTTTGACTTTTTTTAAACTTTTAAAAATATGTTTTTATTGATTTTTAGAGAGAGAGGAAGGGAGATAGAAACATTGATGAGAGAGAAACATCATTGATCGGCTGCCTCCTGCACACTCCTTAACCTGGGCACGTGCCCTGACCAGGAATCGAACCGGTGACCTCTCAGTTCCTGGGTCAACCACTCAACCACTGATCAACAGCCAGATGAAAAATTTGATTCTTAGCACACATCATCACAGAAGGCTACCTAGGCCAGAAAGGCATGTCGTTGTCTGGCCAACCTTCGTCATGATGTTTAGAATGACTGGCACGAAGATGACAGCTTCTGAGGAGTCCCTACCTGGAGAATCTTTCTTCAAACCTTAACTCTAGTCTTTCTTTCACAGCTCTCCCGATGCTTCTGTAACTAGAATTGTGTGATGCAAGCTAGAGCAGTGCATGTTTGTGTGTCCAAGCTACTCACTTTAGGCGGGCCCATGCAAAGTATTGGGGCTGGAAAAACATACCCAGGTCCTGCCAACTGCAACCCTGACCAAGCAATGGAGTTGGAGGAAGCGGGGGAAAGGTGAAAGGGAACATGTAGCTTGCTGCCATGTTTTTGGTAGGGGCTGCCAAGAACAAACAGCTCAAATTACCAGAAAACGTCATCCTGCTGGAAATTCAGTTGGTTTGATGGCAGAATACACAACCTGCACACTTTTTAAAAATCTGATTTTTTTAAAAAATGTTATTAATTTTAGAGACAGGGAGGGAGAGGGATAGGAGATAGAAACATCAGTGATGAGAGTCATTGATCAGCTGCCTCCTGCAGGCCCCCTGCTGGGGATCGAGCCCGCACCCGGCCATGTGCCTTGACCAGGAACTGAACGGGTGACCTCTCGGTGCATGGGACAGCGCTCAATTAACCGAGCCACACTGGGCCGGGCAGTACTTCGCCCTTTTGTACTGCCACGTGAAGGCAAGAGCAAACTGGAACATGGTTTTGTTGTAGAATGAGCTCCCTTTGGTCACTTGGAAATAAACTGTAGGTACAGTGGCCTATCACAGAGTCATTGCTAGTTCTGGTAGCCATGTTACAGAGAAGGAAATGATATAACAGTGTCAGACAGAGGATGATTTCTGCTGGGCTTCATTGGTGAGTGTATTTTCCCTGGTAAGGAGTGTATTGGATACCCTTGTACACCATCTGCAACAACTCAAAGCTGTTTAATTTTATGTGTCAACCTGACCAGGCCATTGGTCAAACATTATTCTGGGAGTTTTTTGTTAAGAGTGATTTTGGATGATATTAACATTTAAATCAACAGTCTGAATAAAGCAGATTGCCCTCCTAATGTGGGTGGGCCTCATTCAATGAGCTGAAGGGTGGAACAGAACGGTCTGACTTTCCCCCAAGTAAGAGGGAATTTTCCTGTCTTTCGAATTGGGATATTGGCTCTTCCTGGATCTTGAGCCTGCTAGCCTTTGGACAGGAACTACACTATTGGCTCTTCTGGGTCTCGGGCCTTCAGACTCAGACTGGAATTAAACCATTAGCTCTCCTGGGTCTAAAGCTTGCCAGCTCATCCAGAAGATCTTGGGACTTGCTTGTCTCCATAATCAGGTGAGCCAATTCTTTATAATAAATCTCTTTACACACACACACACTCTCTCTCTCTCTACTGGTTCTGTTTCTTTGGAGAACCCTAACTAATACATATTCCCAGGCCTCCTCTTTAATTTCTAAGAACTCACACCCCAATCCCAACAATATATCTGCCAGATGAGTGATCCGATGGCCTGGAGCCCTGAAATGAGAGGACAAACACATGGCACAAGGCTGCACCAGAAAGTCAGACATGATTTGTCAGCCTTTATTAACCAAGAGCAGAGCCAAGCCCTAGAGTTTCCTTTTAAAAAATCCAACCTTGTTTATGGCAAACAATGATTTAATTATACATTCAATTCCACAGAGCAAGAATTAATCACTTTCCAATCACTTATTCTTCTGAGATTAAAACACAAGTGTAAACAGGTTAAAATAAAATTCTTCCCAATGATTTAAAAATAATTCCAATTGAAAGACATTTCAAACACTATGTGTAGAACTCAGGACCAAAAACAGACCTTAAAACATTTTTACCTTTGAGGTAGCACAATAATGCTGAATTAGATTTCTTTTATTACAATGAGCTTTAAGAAAACAATGAGGAATCTACCTTTTGCTCAAGGCGGGCTAAATGGTTTTCTGCAAATCCCCCATGAGGTTAGCAACAGTTTTCTTTAAAAAAAAAAAAAAAAATTTTTTTTTTTTAAGTATAAAGATAGCCCTGCAGTGTGTAAAAGGAAACCCACGGGAAGGCTGCTTCCCATAAAATAGACATTAGAATCATTGAGGAACGTCAGCAGTCAAGACAGGAGGGACAAGAGGTAATTGTAGTGAAAACACCAAAACAACTTGTATCTTGGCAAGATTGGTTTACAAATGCATGTCAAGAACAAAAATTCCAAAATCAGCCTACTGAAAACAAAAGATAAAAGATGACATTCACAGGTCTTTTTTCTTTTTCTCTGTGCAAAGATGCTCTTTCACTTTTTCTAAATGAGAGGGGATTGTTTGTACACTTGACACGACATGGAGATGCTGTGTACCCAGGGTGCTGCTGGGTGGCGGCGGCACCGCTGACTGCTCTGCCACTGTGAGCGGAGAACCTGGGCGGTGAGAGGATGAACACAACCTCTCCCGGCTGGAGAACCATTTCTTGCCACTTTGCTGCCGAATTCACTCATTAAACTGCTCAAAGAAAACCTCCACCCTGGATTTCTGAGCATCTATCGCAATTGTATGTAACACAATTATATATATAAGGGCTGTTGGCTAAGGCCAGAACACATGAATCCTTCCTTCAGAGAATACGACCAAGAGAGAGTGGATGTGATACACTGGGGCCAGAAGGAAGGGTAATACTGCAAGCTGGACCGCAAACTCTCAGAACATTCTCCACCCTCCAAAATCAATTAGCAAAGGGTCATTTCCCAGCCCACACTCTGCCCCATGAGGCTCAACCGTCAGGGCAGGGCTTGCCTAGCACAATGTGGACACCAGAGCCCTGAGGTGAACTCGTCTATTCCTTTGGTTCCCCATGCTACACAGAGAATTGGAACAGTGTCAGACTCCGGGCACCTTGGTAATGGCTATGTCCTGTTTCACTCACACTGGTCCCTTTAAAGTCTCCCTCCTTCAAGCCAGGCCCCAGAGGGGCTCTGTACGAAGTGAGGGGCAAGACTGATGATGATCTGTACGTCAAACTGTAATTACAGCAGGAGGACTTAAACCTGATGAATTCTACTCTGTAAAACACCAATCATGAGCGAGCCGGGGGTGTCAAAGAGGCTTCTGTGAAGCGACAGGCTGGACGGGGATGTGCCAGAGGGCAGGACGAGAAAGCCTATTCCCAGCAGCCTGTGGGAGTAACTTTGGCACGGAGTTCACAGCCAGCCCTAACAACGCTGGCATGGGGTGGGGGGCGCAAAGGGGGCATCTGCTCAGCGTTTAAACAGAGTCCTCACAGTCTGGGGCTAGATCTCTGTGTCACTCCCGAAGCCCAACGTACTGTTACCTCTGCAAGAAACTGGTGTGGTTCTTGTCAACTGAAGTGCAAGATCTGCCTTCTTATTTGATAATAAAGCAACACCATAGAAAACAATAACCTTGAAAAATCATGGGGAAAACCACATGGGCTTTCCCAGTGCTAGCTGCCTGTTTTGGAGTATTAGTTACAACCTTTCACACTTCTGAGAGCTGCAATGCAGACTACTTAGGGCAGCCTGAAAAGAGTCCTGCTGCTTTCACTTCACGGAGCACAAGAAAAAGGGAGAATTGACCAAGCTTGTGGTGAGTCACCACTCTGGAAATCTCCTGACCACACTGTCTGTGGCAAAAACAGAGAGCACAGCTTGTGTGGACAATGGAAGGTGACCACGTGGGCTCCATCATCACCCACAGTAGGAACCACTTTAAGCCCTAGCTCATAATCTCTTAGGGATTTACTGAGTTATACAAGTTTTGAAAAAATCATATTGGAAAGGGCCTCTTGAATTAATATAAACTTGGTTACAATGCAAATGTCACACTGCTCTTAGGATCGCCTGTAACATCTGATTTTAAGTCATTCCAAAGAAAAAATTCATTCTGAAACATATCTTTAGGATAAATATTAGGATAATTCATCAGGATTCTACCTGATATAATTAAAAGGTTAAAAAAGTTTTAAAATACAAGCTAAATTATTACTTTCCTTTGGGATTACTTGGAACCCCAAATATTCCTAACATCTTAATTAGAAAGGTCTTTGCAGTAATTCTATAAAATTGTAAATGATGCCGATTTTTGAAAACTAACAAAATGAGTTGATCTTTAGGATAAATGCCTGAGTCAGCTGACAAACTGATATATATGAATATGTCCAAGGGGAATTTCTAAATAGAGAAATATTTGTTTAATTTCAAAAAATAGCTGCTTCTTCTTTAAAGAGTTTAAAAATTGATGGTTCAACAGCAGAGCCATGTGATAACTCTGGAGTAGAAGGAAAAGGTTCTCTTTGTAGTATAACCTCTTGCCGGCACACTGCCATTAGCCTGTAGAGGTAACTGGAAACAAGGGATGGCAGAATTATCCAGGAAAGTATTTGGGTCAGATAGAGTAATGGCACCTCCAGACCCTGGCTCCTTAAAAATGGACAGCAATTTATTCATGCAAACTGCACAGAGATTAAACAAAACAAAATCTACTAAAACAAAACAAAACCCCCAACCCAGAAAACCTTCCCTGTCTCTCTGCTACCTGAAGAATGTACCAAACCCAAATTTTCTGCTCTAACATGGGTCCCAATGATTGATCAGTGTGCTTTGGGGTGCTGACTGCTGGGCCCTGGGCAGGGCCATCCCCTAAGAATCACTGAATTTGGAGACAACTGTCATGTGTGCAGCTCTCAGCAGATAGTACAATGCCACAGGACCACATACCTCCATCATATCTGCCACCGTTTTCCACTGTAGAACCAAAGGCTACAATTTTGAACAAATGTGGACTTTCTCAAAAGACAAATGAGATCAAAAGCTACAACATTTCCTCCCTTGAAAAAGGTTGGGAGAGGGTGTCTACAGTTATACAACAGGTTTCTGCAGACCTGTGGTAACTTCCAAAAGCAATAGTAGCAGCAGGAGAGGAAAGGAAGATGTTTACACTTTGGACTTTGTATCAGGCACTTAAATTGTTGGAGAGACATGCCATTTTGAACCAAATATGTGAAACTGGGTTGGAATAATCATTACAAGTAGTCTAATAATGGGCTTTCAGAAGCAAAGTGGAGGTGCAGGTTGAACCTCTACCCATCCTTTAGTGCTGACTTTCAAGTTTTCTAAATGCCCATGGCCATAGCAATGGCAGCTGCGGTGGCAACAGCAGGAACAGTTCTGTCGTGTCTGCTTTCTGTGTGTGTTCTGTGGCTGACTGTAAGGTTTTGGTGTCACACTGAGAAGACTCTGGGGTGTGGCACACCTACTGCCCAGGGTCGGCCAGATCCATGCTGGAGCCAAACATCTTCACCAGCTGTTCCTGGTAGTGTGAGATGTTCCTCTTCATGATGTCCATGCAGGGCCCCAGAAGCCTCTCAAATGCTAGTACATCCATAACTGCATTATTAAAAAGAGATGAGGAAGAGAATGAATTCTATAGCAACAATTCCAAGGTCATTCTCTTTGTGCAAACCTTTTCTTAAATATATACATTCACATTACAGGATATTAGACTTTGGGATACTGGGCACTTGGGAAAAGGGGAAATGTTTCCATGGAACACAGCAGGACTGTGTCATATAAGTTTGAGACTTTGCAGAGTCCAGTAGCACCTGTTTCTCTCTGTCCCCACACAACCCTGGACACTTGCCCCCTCTTTTCACACTGCCAGGGTGCCTGTATGCCCGCCTTGTTCACAGACTACAATCAGTGCTCAGAAATGTTTGTGAGAAGAAAATATTCTCATTTCTAGTTGGTCACACAAACTGCCCAAGTCTAGATTTAAGAACCGGTGAAATAAGTCAAGGCTTGCTGATGAGAAAAAAATACTGCATGTTAGAAAAAAAGTATTAACGCATAAAGAGTTTTTCTTACCTAAGCATTTGACATTTCCCACAGCATAAGCAGAAGCAGCTCTAGGTTTGTTGGTCACCAGTGCAAGCTCCCCAAAATATTGCCCCTTATGGCAGCGGGCAATCTCGACCTCCTGGTTCCCATCATCCTTGTCTGCTTTAGTCTAGAGCAGGGAGAGAACATGATCCAGGCTGACTCCAGAATCAGAGTGGGGCATGTCCAGTTGCACACACTTGAATTCCCTTAACACAATTACTGAGAAATTCACTTTGCAGAGATTCTAACTGTACCATATAAAATGCACGGGCCAATCTCAGTGGCACGGTTTAATCAGAGGAGTTGGCTTTCACCTGGGACTTCATCTGAATTCTAATCCCCTTCAGGTAATAGAAAAATATCAAGAGGTAAGGCCCAAACCATTTTCTTTTGAAGATTTATATATATTATTATAATACATTTTATATTATTATATAATATGTAATTATAATATATAATTAACATATAATATATAACATATATTATAATTATAATGTATAATTAATAATATAGGACACATATTATAACTATAATTATAGTATATATATTATATAATTAATATGTATTATATTATGTTAATATATGTTAACATATAATAATACATATATTTTATACATATATATGAATACTCTCAGTTTGGTAGATGCTAACTTCTGTGGCACAGAGGAAAAGACATGTTTTGATAATTCTTTCTAAATAATGTCAATGCTTTTCTTAGATAAAGAGTCAAAACCCTGGGCTGCTACTTTTTGATTTGAGACCATGCCTTTCTTGGACAAAACTTACAGTGACAAATTTTCTTTTTGGGTATTTTCTTCTTAAGCTAGTGGTCCCCTCCCACATGTATTTTTAGAAGAATTAAGTAACTAAATATTTTTAAAATAATGTCCAACCTTGACATTTGGTGGTTTAACTCTGTGTTAAAAAATCAAGAAGGGCCTGGCCAGAGTGGCTCAGTGATTGAGCGATGACCCATGAACCAGGAAGTCACACTCATTCAATTCCCAGTCAAGGCACAAGCCTGGGTTTCAAGCTCAGTCCCCAGTAGGGGGCATGCAGGAGGCAACTGAGCAACGATTCTCTGTCATCACTAATGTTTCTCTCTTTCTCTCCCTCTCCCTTCCTCTCTCTGAAATCAATAAAAACATTAAAAAAGAAAAACCAAGCAGGTTGTAATTCATGCTTATCAGATTACTAAAAATAGTAATGTACTATATTGTATTTAGAGTTTCCCTTTTTTTTTTTTTTTAAAACAAATCCCTCTGCTAAGCTAAGCAATAAGTTGCTTAAGTAAATGATTATTTAGAATATATTAGTAAGAATTAGTCTCAAATCTCTAAGAGCCCCTTTATGTTATGGGCAGATAGACAATTTTTTGAAGATTTAGAAAAATAAACAAGTGCCACACTAGCTTACATGGCCTAACCATTTTTCCTTCCACACATCTGCCCTGAACTGTTTGTTCTTAAGTCTATCTGCCCCATTCAAGCCAATGCTCTCTTTCCTATTTCTGTAGTGTTCTCTAGGACCACAGACATGTTGGTGCCCACCTAGTCCCTTCTCTAGAATAGCACTTCCCACATTGTCACACCAATATCAGACCCCTGGGGGTTTTGTTACAATAGAGATTCTGATTCATTAGGTCTGGGGCAGGGTCCAAGACTGCATTTCTGACAAGCTCCCTCAATCCCCCAGTACCACAGTGCTGATGGTCCTACACACCCAACACTATGCTGTGTGGCAATGAATACCTGAGAAATGTACATTTATCAGCAGTCCCAAAACTAAGTGAAAGAACACAGAAGTTTCAAACTATTGTTTCATGTGAAATAACATCTATTTTTAATTCGGAATCAAGCCATCTTATAAGCAGTAATCATATTTTTCTTTCTTTCTCCATTCTTAACTTTTAATAAAGATGTTCTATAGAAGGTTTCATACTAGGTTTATTTAGTATTAGATATAACTCACTATTTTAACAAATTCTATATTCTTTAAAAAAAGTAAAACAGGGAAATCTGATGATATATTTATGGTAAGAATCATTCCTCCCTCTTCTAGTCATCAGTTTTCTAGGTCTCCCTACCCATCAAATGGCCATAATGATAGCCATACTAATAATTGTCCTAGAGACCTCCTCTCTCAGTGCCCTAAAAAGGAAGCTATTTTCATATTCAATACCTACGTGTATTTTTTAATTATATAATTCCTCCATTTTTCTGTTGGGATGTTTATCTTTTTATTGATTTGTAGGCTAATATTTCTCATATTACTGATTACATAGCAGAGGCAAAGGCAATAGGGACAAGAAGAAATACACTAACTTTCTATCAATGGATGGGCCTACCACATGGGTCTTTGCCAGTCACATACCTCACCTAACAATGGTGGTTTTAGTACACTAAACACACTTCACTTTATTTAAAGCAAACAGTTACTTTCTGTGCATACACCTGGCTGGATCTTCCCTAGAATAACTTGCATCATCACACATAAACTCACCTTGCTTTTAATCAAGATGCGCACTTCACCGGACTCTATAATGTAAAAGCTATCAGCCTTTTCACCCTGAAAAGGGAAAGGAGGTCAGGCACATATGTACTGAAGAGGGACACAGAAGTAGATCATTTTGTTATTGCCTGAGCTCTGATTTGTATTTATTTTCCAACTCTACAAATCAATCAATGGCTAACAAATTCAGAACAAAACTAGAGGATCCTGATCACAGGGGATGTCAGTCCAGTGTAACTAACACACACCTCTCATTTCCTAACATGGAATATTCACATTTTCCTCCAAGAATATGCCCAGGTTGCCAAATGCACAAAGCACTGTTCTTCTTATTGCTCGTGTTGGTCCACAACTGAAACCTATGATGAGGGATCAGTAGCCAAGGCTGCTACAGACAGTATCAAGATGACTCCTGGCTACCTCTGGGTCATAGGGCCCAGGTATAATTTTGACCACCAAATGCAGCCCTCTGGAGGACAGTGTGGATCTGGTGAAAGCCCTGCCATGGTCAGGAAGGTGCTTTGATATGGGCTGATGTCACCCTTATGAGCCTCAGGCTTTTCTTTTGCTTGTTTTGATTTTAACCCACTTAGCTGAACTAGTCATTCAAGTAATTCAACAAATAATTAAGTGCTTACTATGTGCCAGGCACTATTTTATTCCAGGCATGTGAGATACATCAGTGGACAAAACAAATATCCCTACCCTTGTGAAACTTAGTCTGTAGTGTGAACGAACTGTAAACAATCAACATAATAATCAGTAGATTATGCTGTTGTGTTGGAAGGCAGTAAGTGCTACAGGAAGAAAGCAAGCAGGGAATGTGGAGACTGCAGGACTGGGAAGCAGATGGCTACAGTATCTGACAGGGCCTCACTGAGGTGAGATCTGAGCAAAGGCCGGAGGAGGTGAGAGTTAGGCCAGCAGATATGGGAGAAGCAGCTTTCAGGCATGCTTCAGACTATGGGCCCCCACTCAACCTCTGAAGCAATGACCATCTACTCTGGGTAATTCAATACTAATCATGTGCTCTCATTCCATCTGAGTCTTATATCTTCAGTGAGAATCTATACTTCTTCCGAGCATTCATAAGGCTTCATATCCTTCGACCACCATAGTACGTTCACCATGCACAGCTGAAGTTGACATTCCTGCGTTTTCTGGTTCCAGGGCCCCATATAATCACCTCTCCATGTGAGTGAAAGCAACAACTTTATAAAGGGATGTCTGTGGGTTCCCATGCTGCTATGCTGGGTGGCTATCCTACACGCAACAGAGCCAAATCACCATGAAGTTCTAGCATTACATAAATAGCTGCATGATAGGAGTTGATGGAGTATAGGGAGCCATGAAAGAAATGAAAAAAAATCAACACAAACATAAAAATTTGTGTTGATGAACTTGAAAGGATGTAATAAAAGAAACTCTGAAGGGACAGTGGGCCAGGGGCTCCCCCAACAGCATGTGTGGTCTGGAGAACATCCAGAGACAGGCTGAGATGCATGCTAGGATCCCCCCATTCCCTGCAATAGGCAATGGCTTCTATTCTTTCTGCTGTACCTGGGCCCCAGCTGGACATCAGTGTTAAGAAGGCATGCACCCTCAGGTATAACACATGTGTAAAAAACAACTGGGCTGCAGAAAGAAGCTAGAAGCATGTGGGTGCTAAAGAGTCACAGCAGTCAGAGTACAAGGTCCAAGGGGACTTAAGGTAGGAATCTCTAAGTGCTAAAGATCATCATTGATCTTCAGAGACGTAGGCAAATTTCTAGTTTAGGAATGCCCCTAATGTAGCCCAGGCTGGTGTGCTCAGTGCTTAGAGCGTTGGCCGGTGCACTGAAGAACCTCGGGTTCAATTTCTGATCAAGGGCACATACCTGGGTTGCAGGTTCGATCCCGGCCCTGGTCAGGGTGTGTGTGGGAGGCAACCAATCAGTGTGTCTCTCTCACATCTATGTTTCTCTCTCCCTCCCTCCCTCCCTCCCTTCCACTCACTCTAAAAATCAATGGAAAAAATGTCCTTGAGTGAGGATCAAAAAAAAAATGGTTTGTTGGTTTGTATAGATTTAGATAAGCTGCAAGCGTAAAATACACACCAGATTTTGAAGACTGAGTTACTCCTCCCCCCAAAAGGAATGTAAAACATCTCATTAAACTTTTATGATACTTAGATATTGAAGTGGTAATATTTTAGATATATTTGGTTAAATAAAATATATTAAAATTAAGATCACCTGTTTCTTTTTTTAATTTGGCTACTAAAAACATTTTAAATTACATATGTGGCTCACATATTTCTATTGAACAGTGGTGGTCTAGAAGTAAACATAGGAGAAAATCTTATTGAGCTTGCAAAGGTATTTTTAAAAAGGGCATAAAAATAATGAATTATAAGAGGAAAAAATGACAAACTGAACTCATCAAAATTAAAAACTTTTGTTTTTTAAAAGCTACCATTAAGAAAATGAAGAGACAAACCACAGACACAGATTGGGAGAAATATTTGCAAGTCATTTGTCTGATAAAGGGTTTGTACTTAGAATATGTAAAGAACTCTTATAACTCAATAATAAGCCAAACAACCAACTTTTAAATAGGGCAAAAGACTGCACAGATATGTTACCAAAGAAAACATGAGGATAGCAAGCATTCACGGGAAAAGATGCTCAACATCATTAGACATTAGGTAAATTCAAATTAAAACCAAAATAAAACACCACTTGATACCACTAGAATGGCTAAAATTAAAAGCTGTCAGTGCTAAATGCTGGTGAGGACGCAGAGTATCTGGAACTCCTGTGCACTGCTGGGGAAATGCAATTTTGTATAGCCATTTTTAAAATTTTTATTTTATTTTATTTTTAAGCCATTTACAAACCAATTTGGCAGTTTGCTAAACACACATTTACCATGTGACTCAGCATTTCCATAAAAACATATGTCTACACAAAGACTTGTATGTGAATGTTCACTGCAGTTTTACTCATAATTACCAAAAACTGGAGAGTCCCCAGTGTCCCTCAAACGGAATTATGCTACATCCATACAATGAAATGCTTCTCAGCAATAAAAAGGAATGCTCTGCTGATACAAACAGCATAGACAAATCTCAAAAACATATGCCAATCCCTAGCTGGTTTGGCTCAGTGGTTAGAATGTTGGCCTGAGGACTGAAGGGTCCCGGGTTCAATTTTAGCCAAGGGCATGTACCTCGCGGTTGCAGGCTTGCTCCCTGGCCCAGTCGGGGCGCGTGCGGGAGGCAACCAATCGATGTTTCTCTCTCACACTGATGCTTTTCTCTCTCCCTTCCACTCTCTCTGAAAAGCAATGGAAAAAATATCCTCGGGTAAAGGTTAAAAAAAAACAAGAAACATAAGCTAAGAGAAAGGAGGCCGACACAAGACTCTGCATTATACAATTTCACTTATGTGAAATTCTAGAAAAGGGATTTATAGAGTGATAGGAGGCAGATCAGTTATTTCCAGAAGGAAGGGGGTTGGGGGGGGGGACTGACTGCAAATACAAATGAGAGAACTTCTTGGGGTGATGGAAATGCCTTATTCTACGATTACAGGGGTGTTATAAAATTCTTGAATTGTATACTTAAACTTGGTAATCTTATTGTATGTAAAACATACAATATGTATCAAAGCTGACCAAAACAACATAAAGCACATTTTCTGACTCAGTCGGTCTGGGGTGGAGCCCAAGAACATGCATTTCTAACAATTCCTAACAATATCTATAACATTCCCAGATGGTGGTGGTGCTGCTGCTGCTGGTGGTGCTGGGACCTCACTTAGAGAAACCTTGGTCTAGAGACACTGCCAAAAGGGGTCTAGAATAAATACATTAATTCGTGTCTACTCTGCACCACCAGCTAGCACTCTTATGCAAGAGCAGACACCCCAGAAAACACTGTGGCTTCTCATACCTCTTGACACACCTCCTGAAGGACTGAGGCTTTCAGGATGAAGTAGAGGCCCTCTGGGTGTAAACTAAAACACCTTGGGTTCAGAAGCAAACGTGACCAGTCAACACGTCCCATTCCTGCAGCCTGGCACTGCGTTCTTACCATACTAGGATACCTACCCTGGCACGCAGCTCATGCCCACACGCCCTTGCTCATATTGTTCTCTTGCCCCTGGAAGACCTTTCCCTGACCTCAACTGTTGAAGCTGCACTTGTTCAATAAGCCCAACTCAAATGGCATTTCCTTCATGAAACCATATGGAGCATTTCCTTTTTTCTATATTCTGTCATTTATATAAAACTACATTACAGAGCTTATATCTGGTCTATCTTAATGTTTACAGAATCAAACCAATTTCTTTTTTTTAAAGTTTCAATGACACTTCTGTTATACTTTTTATTTTACTTATTTATTTATTTTAACCCTCACCCGAGGATATTTTTCCACTGCTTTTCAGAGAGAGAGGAAGGGCGGGGAGAGAGAGAAACATTGATGTGAGAGACACATCAATTGGTTGTCCCTCTCACGAGCCTTGATCAGGGCTGGGAACGAGCCTGAAACCGCACGCAGTACATGTCCTCGGCTGGAATCGAACCCAGGACCCTTCAGTCCACAGGCGGATGATCTAGCCACTGAGCCAAACTGGCTAGGGCACAAACCAACTTCAAATTAAAAGAATTAACAGTTGGGGTACCCAGAACAGAAGCTTTAGAGATGCCACTCAGAGTAGACAAGGTTTTGTCATCAGCCCTCTTTCTCTGGAAGTGCTTCTCTCCTTCTGTGATAAGCCTGATTAGCCCCTGTGGTGCTGGTTGGGCAAACTCCAGGGGTGGGCCTGGACTCAGGCTTGACCAGTCTAAGTCTTTCCTCCTCCTAGCCCCAGTTCTGGGTTCAAGGATGGGCACAACACTCAAACCAGACCAGCTAGATTTCTTTCCAGCGCTCTTGCCAGAACCACCGGCAGAGTTTAAACTTGGCAAAGTCCATAATACTCTTTAAATAACCCTGCATCAAGCAAGTCTACCAGCACCATTTTCCCAATAGCGTTTGCTTACTTTGCGTCTGTCACATTTTGGTAATTCTCCCAATACTTCAAACTTTTTCATTGTTATTATATTTATTAGTGATTTATGATCAGTGATCTTTGACATTAATAGGGCAAGATTCTCCATCGGCAAAAAGATTACGACTCGCTGAAGGCTCAGGTGATGGTTAGCATTTTTTAGTAATAAAGCATTTTTAATTAAGGTATGTGCATTGTTTTTTTAGACATAATGCTATTGCACACTTAACAGAATACCATATAGTGTAAACATAACTTTTATATGCACTGGGAAACCAAAAAATTCATGTGACTCCCTTTACTGAGATATCTGCTTTATAGCAGTGGTCTGGAACCAAACCTGCAATATATCTGAGGCACGCCTATAATTAAAAACGCAAACATAGTAGATGAGAAAAATTATTACATAGTACTCATCACAATGATCCAGTGCATTGTATAGTGATCCTTAAAGTACCCAAAAGTAACATGAGAAAAAGGCACAAAGGAAACAATAAAGGAACCTTATAAATCTGGTCAATCACTGAAGACTGAAGACTCTGGTTTGTGTTGGATTAGCTAAGAGGCTACCTTTGTGTCAAACATAAAGAGAAGGTAAAGGGCCCAACTCTTCGAACTTCCTCAGGTTTTAACAGCCATGAATGAAGCTTACTCAGAGTCAAAAGAAAATGACATCTGAAAGCACAAACACCAGAAGCCAAGGAGAGGTGAGTGAAGGCAACAGATGGGAATGTCAGTAAGAAACATCAATGGGCTTCAGGAGATCTGCAGGAAGCGTGCCCTAGTACCTCCCAAAAGTGAGAGGACAGGCACACACACATGCACGAGTCCCTCACGAGGGGACTGCCCCCACCTGAGTGATTATGCGCTCCCCATCCTTGAAGTCTCTCTCTGCAATAACATCCACAATCTTCATTCGTTCTGACACCTGAAACAGAGATACACTCGCAAGTCATAAGAAGACCTCCACTGAAAGTCACAAATAGTATCTACACAACACAGAAATGAGTTATAGTAGTTTGAGTTGAAAACCTAACAGTAGCATAGTTTCAATGGCTTTTCTCACACCCCCATAGGCAGTCTTCAGTACTTACCTCTAGGGACTTGAGCAGGGGCACAGACTCAATGAAGGTCTCAAATGTCTTCCGCTTCCGTGCATTGTTCTTCACTATGATTCTTCTAAACGTCGACCGGTCCTATGGAGAGGGGGTGAAAATCCCAGTGAGTGCCTATGCGAGAGAACGTCTGCGGGTTAACTAACTGGGCCACTACAAACACTGGGACTGTGAAAGGCACTAAGTCTGGTACTTTAATCTGAGTCAGCCAGAGCCAGACTCTCACGAGCAGCTGCTTGCTGTGCGGTGCGCAACTGGGCCACCTATAGATGGTAAATAGAATATAAAGGGAAAAACTCCCAGTCAAACATCTGAGAGCTTCCGGTCTGTCACTGCTCAGTGTGAAAAGATGCACCTTAAGAAAAAGGAGATAAAACAATCAGATGGTTTTTGCCCTCAAGGATTTTACAATCTCAGTGAGGACACAATACAAAATACATAGGGATAAATATAAATTTGTCTGGGACCTGAAGGAGGGGTAGAATTTAAATTAAGAGAGACAGGAGGAAACTCAAGATGGAAAGCAGGCATAAGAAAGGTACCTTGAGTCCAGCAAGTCATGGATTCAGACTCAAGAGACAGTTAACCAGAGCTATAGCCAGGCACTTCTCAGATGCGTGGGGAGGGACATGCAGCCAGGAGAATGTTAATTGATTGGTTTTAGACTTCTAAATGTTTACACAGTTATTTGTACCTAAGTTAATTGTAGTTTTCTTCTACCTCAGGCTGTCAGTAATGAAAAAATAATTTTTTGGAGGGAGGGGGTTACAGTAATGACATCCTAAAGGCTGGCAGGATGAAAAAACGGCAAGAAGCTGAAGGCATGTTAAGCTTGTAGGTTTGCTATTTTAGCATTCTTGATGATGGGGTAGGTGTAGGTAGAGAAAACACATAAAAGACAACTAAATCGAGATGTCTAAATGGGTTTCACCAGCTCATGTTCCATTAAGGACAGAATTCCCAGGCACTATCCCATGCAATGTTTCATCTGCCTTACAAAAGAAGTCACCTACTGCACCCTACACACCTAGTGTGAACCATGGCAGACTGCTACCCTCCCTCCCTAAACTGCTGTACACATAACATCTGCCCTCCAACATTTTGCCAGATTCTGCCCCATTTTCTTCATCTGTCTGCTTGAGAAGAGCCACTCAGTCTCTGAATGCTATAATGGGCTGCATTATATGCCACTACTTTTTTGAAGTCCAAGGTTAGAAATGTATCACTTAAAATGTTACTGTTATACTTTGGAATATTACTGCAATGTAATATTCCAGCCTGGGCAACATTGATGCATTTTATAACAGAATTTATTTTCTCCCTATTATTTATTGACCTATCCTTGAGTTTTCCAACCACTGAGTCCCCAAAGTGTGTGATCTATTCTGAAGTCATTCTATCACTCATCTCTCAGGAGCATTCTTATTTTCTTAAATCATAGTAAAGTGCTGTATATGTCTTTAAAATGTGATTTCATTTGAGGAAATATGTTAATCCTATGGTATACATTCAATTCTGCTTTTAAGGTCAATAGAAACAAATTACTATAGATGTCAATGCTTTAAAAGTAAAATATGGAATTTGTACAAGAGAATGACTATTTTGTTTAAGAGAGTCATATATTTTGAAGGAAGGTGGGTCATGTACAATAAAGGATAGGAATCACAGCCGTGCTATGCCTAAGACATTTTAGGAATGTTCTCTTTCCCAAAATCTGGCCATCAGCCTTTCTAGTCATTTAATCTACTAGATATTGGCATGGGCCAAGACACAAGTGGATGCCTGAACAGAGAGAAGAGAGTCCTGGGACAGCTAGAGATGCAAAACACTGTAGGCAGAGCTTTCAATGACTTATTTTTCTAGGCTGTCTCTTGTATAGAGTTATCCCCCCCCCTTTCTACTTGTCTCATGAAAACATAAACACAAAATGCAGTAAGAGCTGACACAATCGCTTCTCAGCCTTTTGGCTAAGATCAAGTAGTGAAGACTTGACGTGGCTGAAAGGTCATAAGACCCAGTCATTGCTCTGTAATTTGGAGTAAATGGTTTACTGACAAATCATTTAAGAGAAATGGAAAAATACACTGGTATAAGACCTTCCACAATGTCTTTCAGATAACTGGCTATAGAATACAGTGTTCATCAACAGCCCAAGGACAGAGGCCCAGGAGTAAAGGAAATTAATACTCTGCCCTGCAAGGGGAACCACTTCTCTAACTTACCAGTCCCCAAAGGGCGCCTTCTGAGGTGGCAACAATGGTGGCAGCTCTTGGAGTGTTGTACATCAGAGCTAGTTCTCCAAAACTTCCACGGTTGTCATATTGACCAACAGTGCGGGTTTGATCATCTTTTGTTACTAAAATATTATAAGTTCCCCTGAAAGTATAACAAGAAACAATTTCATTGATAATTCTAACAATAAACTCAAGAACTGGCAGGCAGTGCACAAACAGAAGGTACATAAGACAGAAAGGTTGTTTCGGAGATTCCCAGCAGACGTTTGCATTTTGACTTTGCATTCTGTGACCTTGCTAAACTTAATTATTAGTTCTAATAGTTTTTTTGTAGCACTGTCGGGATTTTTCAGAGGGTCATTTCATCTACAAACAGTTTCATTTCTCCTTCCCAATTTATGTGCCCACCTGCCCGCACTCCCTCCACATTCGCCTTTCCTTCTTTTTCCTTTGCCTAGTGCACTGGCCAGGGCCTACAGACAATATTAAACAGACGTGGTGAGAGCAGAAATCTTTGTCTTGTTCTCAATCTTACAGGAAAAACATTCACTCTTTCACCATTAAGTATGATGGTTAGCTGTAGATTTTTAAAAATGCCTTTAATCAGGTTGGAGAAAAGTCCCTTCTGTTTCTAGTTTGCAGAGTTTTTGATCAAGAAAAGGTGTTGAATTTTGTCAAATGCTTTTCCTGCAGATATTGAAATGATTGTATGGGTTTTCTTTTGTAGTCTGTTGAAAACTAGGATGTAGAACTGATTAAAATAAATAAAATAAAAATTTCTCTGTTGATTGATGATAATTGTAAAATAAAAATATTTAGAACTGACAAGCATTTGGAGAAATAAGCTCTCTCAATATACCACTGAGGCACATGGAAATGTTTTAAAGTTTCTGAAAGACAATTAACAACATATAGCAAATTCTTTAAAGAGATCCTTTGGCATAGCAATTCCATTTCTAGTCAGGATTCTAAAAAAGATAATCAAAGACACTGAAAAATATCTAACGAGCCCGGCCGGGCGTGGCTCACAGGCTGAGCATCGACCTAGGATCCAGGAGATCAAGGTTCGATTCCCAGTCAGGGACATGCCCGGGTTGAGGGCTCGATCCCCAATGACTCTCTCATCATTGGTGCTTCTCTCTCTCTCTCCCTCTCCTTTCCTCTCTCTGAAATCAATAAAGATATATATATATATATATAAATATATATCTAACTATACGAGTGTTCACCAGGTAATATTTATAACAGCAAAAACTACAATTTAACCGGCTAACCATCGGGTATAGGCCAAATACTGGTCTATATTCACATCATACAGTCAATATAAATGATGTCATAGAATAATACTGCATCCCATGGCAAACTACTTAAACTAGATTTTTAAATCAGGCCACACAACAATGTATGACACAACAAAGAAGTATATATATATAAATGTGATAAAGAGTCAGCTCCACTTTTGGTGTCTGACTGTCAGTTCTCAAGCCCTACCCCTCCAGTCCACCTCCCTCTTCCCTCTCACATCTGGGGACGCTGAGAAGAAAGCCTTCGTGCCAGCCCATACATAGGAGCACCCTCACCCCAGCCCCGTCTTCTAAACACCGTGAAATTCCAAGCCAGTCACCTGTCCCCCGAGTCATTTTTGGACCTCTTGGGAGCTTGCCTTGCTATCCCTAAAAAGCCTCAGTATGTGAGTAAGAAACCTTTTGCATCTGAACCAAATCTGGGATAATGGATTTTACCTCAACAGTAAAAGGTAGAAAAAAATAAAAAAAGAAAAGAAAAGGAAGCCTACACTCTGGTAATGAAATTATGGCTAAATTACTTTGGTTCCTGTTTTTAATTGTCTAAATTTCCTATAAAGAGCCTCCACTTGTCTAATAAAATCACTACGTAGCGTATGTTACACAAGAAGCAGAGACTAAAAGCGATCATTCAAGTATCAGTTACGTGGCACCGACCCTGCTCTTCAGGGAGCTCGCCAATCAGTAGGGAGGTTGACCTGAACTAGACCTGGTGGACAAGACAAAAGTAATGAGGCCATGAATGGTAAACAGAATTCACCTCCGTGCTTTCGGTCTCTCCTCCAGGAGACACCAGCTACTTCATTCTGGGAATGACAAAGTATTTCGGATGTCCGGAGAGTCTTCCTAACCTCTCTCACTCAGGTCCTCTTCCAAATGATGGAACACATCTTTATCACTGCTGTTAGCACCATCTTATGTAATAATTATCTATTTAAGGGTCTGTCTCTCCAACAGGTGAGGTTTTTGAGGTCAGGAACCATATCTTTTTACTTGAATGATAGTCTTTCCAATTTGTCAACAACTACTCTCGTGGCATACAAAAGGGGATCCCTCTCATTTATACAGGTAACGAATCATTCCCTTTGTAGGCAAGCATTTCAATCTTTAAGCTATGGATATGTGCAGGTGGGCGCTTATTTCCCAAACTACAGGTGCCTAATGGGATTCCTGAGTTGGTAGGAGAGAATACATGGCAAGGGGGAAAGGTGGCTGTTAGAGGTGGTAATATAACTTAGAAAGTATTACTTCTAATATCGGAACTCTTTAAGTAAAACATTTTTTCTAACTATAACACTGTCTCAGATATCAAGAACCCAAAGGTTATCCAAGGAGTGAGAACCTTTTCTGTTCAAGAATCTGAATGAGCAGCCCTGGTTGGTGCAGCCCAGTTGGCTAGGTGTCTAGTCCCTTGCACTGAAAAGTTACTGGTTCTATTCCCAGTTAGGGCGCATGCCACGGCCGTGGGCTCCATAACCCTGTAGGGGGTGTGCAGGAGGCAGCCGATCAATGTTATGCTCTCACATCAATGTTTCCCTCTTTTCCCTTCCTTTCTCTCTAAAAATCAATGAACTATTCTTTTTGTTTTTTTTAATATATCTTTATTGATTTCAGAGAAAGGAAGGGAGAGGGAGAGAGAGAGACATCAATGATGAAAGACTGGTCATCGATCGGCTGCCTCTTGCACGCCCCTGACTGGGGATTGAGCCTGCAACCTGGGCATGTGGCCTGACTGGGAATCGAACCACGATCTCCTGGATTCTAGGTCGATGCTCAACCTCTGAGCCACACCCGGCTAGGCAATGAACTATTCTTTTTCTTTTCTTTTTTTAATGTATCTTTATTGATTTCAGGGAGAGGAAAAGAGAGGGAGAGATAGAAACATCAATGATGAGAGAGTCACACCCCCGACTGGGGACCGAGCCCGCAACCCAGGCATGTGCCCTGACCAGGAATTGAACCCTGATAGCCTGGATCCCAGGTCAACACTCAACCACTGAGCCACGCCCAGCTGGGCAAATGAACTCTTCTTTAAAAAACAAAACACCAGAAGGTGGCAGGTTTGGTTCCGGTCAGGGCACACACCCAGGTTGCAGATTCGATCCCCAGTTGGGCATAAACGGGAGGCGACCGATCGGTGTTTATCCCTCACATTGATGTTTCTCTGTTGCTCTCTCCACGATACACTAAAAAAAAAAATAAAACAATATAAAAGATTCTGAATGGGCAAAGGCTTGACAAGAAAGGGAACCAAATGAATCTGGTGCAGCTACTTGATGGAGATTTAATAACTAAGGAAATCAGGGAAACAACTGGAAAAATTTGAATAAGTCTGTACAGTAGATGACAGTACTGCATAAATGTTCATTTCTGACACTTATAATTGTTCTGTGCTTATGTAAAAGAACACCCTATTTTTAGGAAATACACAATGAAGTATTCAGTGGTAAAAGGGCATTATACTTGCAACTTACTCTCAAACAATTAACAAAGCAAATGTGGTAAAACATCAACCTGGGGAACCCAGGTTTATGAAAATTTTTTGTACTATCTATGTAACATTTCTATAACTCTGAAATTACTTCAAAAGAAAAAATTGAAAAATAAAGTTATTGGGTAGGGAAACATCTTATTGATCTTAAACTCTGAAGAGAGTGTTCCTTTCAGGACTGAGAGGGGTCATGAGGAGTCCCCCAGATGATAATAACAGCTCCAGAAGTTAGGACACACTAAGGCAAGCAAGTCAAACCCACATATTTCATGTTTTCCAACATGGCTTCTACCTGGAACACAGCCAGAAAGGGCCGGAAGTTGAGGCAGTGTACTCATGTGTAAAATGAGGCTGGGATTGAAAGATCCGGATAATAACATAGCATCACAGCTATTCTTCAGGAAATCAATTCCCTTGAACACTGGCAAATAACATATTTAAAAAGCACATCTTGCATAATTGTAAAGGAGACTTTCTAGTGTAGACAGTGGCAACCCAAGTATGGGATGTACTGAAGACTCCAGACAGCAGTAGGCAGAGAGGGACAGGCTGTGGACAGAGATAGGCAAGCTTTAAGAAGCTTGTTCGTCTGCCTAAGTCCTCTCTAAGCCAAATAAACATAGCTTAGGTGACCTGAATCCTGCAAAGCTCCATCTCCTACCGTTCTATGACATAAAAGTTGTCTCCATCATCTCCTTGGTCAATAACATGCTCATCAACTTTGACTATCTTTTCAAACATGGCATCAAGGACTTCAGAAAGCTGTTCCTGCAGGGTACACACAAGGAGAAAAGATAGCTTTTACATCTGCTGGGGAAAAATCCCAACTACAGTTATCTGTTTGTGGCTACATAGTTGAAGTCTACAAATCAGACTATTGCCCATATTCAAGCAAAAACCTAAGGGCTACCTGAAACAAGTGCTTTCCTGTGACCATTCAGCTTTGTACCTCCATGTACACAGCATAGTTGCAAAGTTTTTTGAGGCAGTATTGCTTTGAAAAAGGGTTAATTTAAGCAAAAATAGGTATCTAAATCATTTTCTCAGCCACACCCACATGACTGTCACTTGTCCTGATAGTTCCACTATGTCATGTATAAAATCATATGATGTCACCTTCTTATAGGTGTTAATTTAACAGATCATCGGGTCTAAGGGGCTGGGATGGTGTTAGAGGTTATCTTTTGGAGTAGCACAATTGCTCTGACTAGCCAAGTACATCACTTCATCTCTCTGAGCCTGTTTTTTCATATGTGTAAAACTGCTTAATAGTTTCTAGCCTGGCCAGCACTGCTCAGTGGTTGAGCACTGACCCATGAACCAGGAGATCACCGTTCAATTCTCGGTGAGGGCATATGGCTGGTTGCAGGGGGCAGCCAATTGATGTTTAGCTTTCAAATCAATGTTTCTCTCTCTCCCTTCTCTTTCTAAAAATCAATAAAAATCTTTTAAAAATAAAATGAACTGCCTAAAATAAGATGGGTTAATGTAGGAGCCAACAAACAGCTGCCTGTGTTATAATGTTTTATTGGAACACTGTCACACCCTTTCACTTATGTATTATCTATGGCTGCTTTCCTGCTACAATAACAGGGTTGAATAGTTGTGATGGAAATATTTACTATCTGGTTCTTTAAGGAAAAATTTTGCTGAGGGATGGGTAGATGGTATATAACATGGCAAGCAGAGTAAATGTTAATCAAAGCAGTTAATAAATGTGTGGTCCATAAAATTCTTTCAACTTTGTTGTATTAAATATTTTCATGATAAAAATGTTAGAAAAATATAATTAAATCTGAAAATTCAGTTATCATTTTTCAGCACTAAAATGGTATTCTCCAACAAAACTCTGAATATTAAATTGACATAGCAATTTCCCTTAGAACATCTGATGGTATTAAGTTTACAAGGGATTTTAGTAATAGTAGATAAAGGTGCAATTCCCCTTTCCATTGATACAGATGGGTTTCCCAGAGAAAACAGCTGACACAGACCAGTATTTCTCACAACCAGTCTTTTCTTGAGCTCATGGTCCTTGTTTTTTAATTCAGTTTGAGACTAATAAAACTCGGATTAATGTTCAAGATTCTTCAGGAGGTAGTCCCTGCTATCTATCTCCACAAAGGGAGGGAAGACAAACCCACGCAGCGATCCCTATGCTTGGGCCCTATAGACACACACCACTCTGTGTGTGCCCCATGCCTGAGGTCCTCATTGAGAAGTAATTCCAATAGCTGCCCCACACCTAAGGTCTGAGAAGCAGTCATACACTTCCAGTGTGTTACCTGAGATTGATGAAGAGAACTCCACACTGGTATCTTTGGAGAAATTATCCTGCAGCATGAATTCAGACCCTTTAAACTAAGCCAGGGTCATGCAAACCTGATCATTTCCTTTTTACATGACCAAGCTGCATGCATGATCCTCAAATGGTACTGTCTTGGAGGAAGTGTCAAAGCAATTCTGAGAAATACTAAAAGTAATCTGAAAAGCTCATTATGATTATGGTGGTCAACACAATGCAAACATATGTAAGAAAGACAAATCTAAAGTTTTATGCCTCACATGGCTGTGGCTAAGACACTAAAAACTGTTTAAATGACAAACAGGAGAAAAGCTAAAAGACAAAAATATTTTAAAAATCAATGTTACCTGATCAAGACTTTTGAAAAGGAGAATATCTTTGCAAGATTCCTGAAGTCTGCATCTCTGTTCATCAGTTTTAGGATGAATCACCTGCCAATACAAATAAGGCCAAGGAAATTTTAAATTCTATTTTAAAATCTTAATTTATTTACAAATTGGTATATCTCTCTCCTAAAGAGTGGGAAATATTAAGAGCATGTTTACTATCATTTTAATTCTATACAAATACCAAGCAGTGCCCTGATCACGAAGGGTACTATGACAGGGGGTGAAGAGCACCCACCCTGGAGCCACCCACTGGTGGCTGCCAGCAAGTCAGCGACCCCCGGGGAGCCTTGGAGTCCTCACTGGTAAGGCAGAGGGTTATAGATTTGTTCATTCAACAAATATTAGGCATCTTTTAGGTGCCAGGCATTGTCCTACCTCTGAGGACATAGCAGCAAACACACAGACAAAAGCATCTGCTCTCATATTCAATAAATATATAAAAATATGTTGAAGAGTGATAAGGCTAAGGAGAAAAACAAAGGAGAGGGTGATAAAAAGCATGTGTGTGTGTGTGTGTGTGCGTGTGTGTGTGTGTGTCCAGAGGCACATCACTGAGAAGGTGACATCTGGGTAAAGATCTCAAGGGAGGACAACCTGAAGGAGTGAGCCATACCTATCTGCGTGGGAAGAGCACCTCAAGCAAGGGGAACAGCAAGTAAAACAAGGCCCTGGGAAATAACCAGGAGACAGGTGTGATGATGCGAGCAAGGGGGACAGGTCAGGAAGACACCAGGTGGAGGTTGGGTAAGGGTGATGCCCAAATGACAGGGGGCACTGTAGGTCACAGAACCGGAACTTTTCTCCAGTGACATGGGGACAATTTGAGGGTTGTGACTGAGGGGAAAAAAGGGATCTAATGTTTTTAAAGGCTCACACTGGCTGCTGAGTAAAGACCAGCCTTGAGGGAAGACAGGGTGAAAGCCAGGAAGCTACTATCATTATTCCAGTGCCAGTAGCAAGAGAGGTGTTGAGAAGTAGTGGAATTTTGGTTATTTTCTAAAGACTGAGCCCACTGGGTTTGCTTAAAAATTAAATGTGGGCATGAAAAAATGTGAGAAGCAGAGGGTGACCCTAAAATTTTGGGCCTGAGCAACTGGAAGGGTGGTGCTGCCATGAATTGAGTTGAAAAAGACTGGAGGTAAGAAGGATGTTTAAAAGGAGATAGATAATCAGGAATTCATGTTAAGTTTGAGTTCTCTATTGAAATCTAAGCAGAGATGGAAAGTAAACAATGGCTATACAGGCTAGAGTTCAAACATTAACAAATAATAATAATAACAATAATAATTAGTAGTAGTGGTGATATCTGTAAAATTAGAGTTGCCATACAGATTAAACGAGTTAATACATGCAGTGTTTAAAACAGTACCGGGCATTTAGCAGATGCTCAAAACTATTACAATTATTATATTCAATAAATATTTATTGGACTAAAAAATAATTATTGCTAGTACTGCTATTATAACTGAGAGATCCATCAAGCTCCTTCCTAAGTATTGTCTTCACCCTAAAAAGAAAGGTACATCACTTAACCTAACTGGAAATAACAGATATCAAAAGTGTTAAGCATTTTGCCCCAGCCAAGCAGCTCCGTTGGCTGGAGCGTTGTCCTGTGCACCAAAAGGCTGGAGCGTTGTGGGTTCTAATCCCTGGTGAGGCACGTACAAGAGGTAATCAGTAGATGTTCCTCTCACATCAGTGTTTCTCTCCTCTCCATCCCTTTCTCTCCAAAAATCAGTAAAAACACATCCTTTGGGTGAGGATCAAAAATCAAGTGTTAAGCATTTTGAATCTGTGATACGAAAAAGTTAGTAAAAACCAATTTACCTTTTTTTATTGGTTGTTTTAGAGAGAGAGAAGAAGTGAGAGAGATGAGAGAGAGAAACATCAATTTTCTGTTCCACTTATTTGTGCACTCATTGGTCGATTCTTGTATGTGCCCCAAACAGGGATCGAACCCACAACCCTGGCGTATCGGGACGACACTCTACCTGGCCGGGTGATTTAACTCTTAAAAGTCATCGGGAATATTACGATATCCAGAATATAAATATTTTAAAATCTACATGTCTATTATATTCGCACAGTGGTAGCATTTTATTATTAGAATACTTCAGAAATCTTTCACAAGCTATTTATTTTAAGGCATACTTGAAAGATCATTAAAGTTTCTTCTATAACATCTTTTAAAAATGATGCTTCATATTTGTTTTTATAGGCTACTTTGTTAACTGTATAAGAATTAAAAAACCCAAGTGTCTTAAAAGTGCCCAAGTCAACACAGTCCTGCTACAACCACTGTTAACATCTGGAATATATCCTTCCAGATGTAATTGTATGAATAAGTAAATAAATAGTACAAATAAATGGACAGATTGCTATTACAACACTGTAATGGTCTCCATCTGTACATCCTTAGGAAGGATCCAACTGTTTGTTAAGAATGAATTCCCCTTTGGGTAACTGCCGAATCAGTGGTCCTGACTACGTTTAAGGCTTTGACAGTTAGAGCGAGGCACCCCTTCTTACCAATACCTCAGCCAACCCTGCTTGCTTTCTTCTTTTTTCAATCTTATTTTTCCAATTACAGTTTACATTCAATATTATTTTGTATTAGTTTCCGGTGTATAATTCTTCATAATAGGTGTCAACATGTTAGATAAAAAATGCCATCTTGTTGAGATTTTGTGTTTAATTATCAGCAGGGTTAGAGCTGGTGTGCAGAGGAGCAGGGGAGTGAGTGGGGAATAAACCAGTTCTACTTAGTACCCTTTGCTGCACTTCTTACCCTTGGATCAGTATCTTCCTCTTCATCATCAGGGTTATAGGCCTCAGCACAAACTAAATTTGTAGAGAAAAAAATAAAGAGAAAGATGAATAAAACAGATGTGTGCTTTTACTATGAAAATAGAAAATGAACACAATTTCCTTTTATTCACTACTTGCTGAAGCTGTAATGATTTTCTAAATCCCTCCTTTCAATTTCCAAATGTATTAAGTACCTACTAACACCAGGCATTCTGTTAGGCACGAAGAGCCAGCTCTCCAGGGATTGGTAGTTCCAAATAGGAGAGAGATGATAAAATACAGAGTGGGGCAAAAGTAGGTTTACAGTTGTTCATACGGAAAATAATACAATAATTAATAATAATACAAGAATAAACTATGTGTTTCACATACTAAGAACTGTAAACCCACTAAATCCTATGGTAGTGGCAAGGACAAGCAAGGAGGTTCTGTTTCTAAACTAATGGAATACCTGAGAAATGGTGAATCCCAGCATGTCCTGTAGACAGAACTCCCTTCCCTGCCCAGCCTATACTACTTTACTTGTGTGGGTCACACCTTCTGTGTTGTAATGCCATCAATATTCTGCCCGTCTAACAGAAACCCAGTATCCTTAAATAGAGAAAAATTAGGGAGAAGAAAATAAGAGGACACCAACATTCTAGTCCCTAAAACAGCAGCAGGTGATATTCTGCAGAGAGGGCTGCCCAGCCCCTGCCTGGTTCAGGCTCTGGGAAGGTGAGCCAGGGAAGTGACAGTGGGATGCAGGTAATGACTTATTATCTTTCTCCAAGCCATCCCTGTTTCCACAAGGTGAAATCAGGGTGCGTTTATCTCAGATCTGTCCTAAAGACTAAGGCAGACACCTTCCTGAGTTCCTAGACATTATTGCTGCCACTCCTTTGCATCTTCATAGGTATTTTGGGAGGAGACTGAGGAAGCTGCATTGAGGGCAGCTAACCAGTCACCATGTTGAACTGCAAACCTCTTGGTTCTTTGTGCTCTTAATTTGTCATTATCAGCCCAGTTTCCTAAACTAGGAAGTCACCATGACCTCCTTCCTTCTCCTCTTATCCAATGAACACATCAAATTCTACTCCAGAAATATTCGCATATTTCACCTTCATTCCATCTACTCCAACTGCTACTCCTTAGTTCATGACTTCAAAATGTCTTCTTAGAAAAATGCATTTTAAAAGCCCTTCATTTTGGAGATAGATGGGTACATGGGTATTATCATACTAACTTTCTCTAGTTTTGCATTTGTATGAAAATTTTAATTTAAAAAAATTAAAATAATAATAAGCCTTCAATGATGAGACAGGACTTTACTGACAATGACACAACAGGCATTAGTCTATTTCCAAGCTTGCTTTTCCTCTGATTTTAGAGGAAAATACTTTAGCGACTTAGCTCATTTTTATGTTTTTAAAATATACCTTTATTGATTTCAGAGAGAGGAAAGGAGAAGGAGAGAGAGAGAGATAGAAACATCAATGATGAGAGAGCCATTGATCGAGCCCACAACCCGGGCATGTGCCCTGACCAGGAATCGAACCCCAATCACCTGGATCCTAGGTCAATGCTCAACCGCTGAGCCACGCCCGGCCAGGCTCATTTTTATATTTTTAGACATTAATGTAACTGAGGCAGCAAATGTTACAGTCTTTAAGTCTCACAGTACAGAACTATGATTTAAACAAAAGTAGTTATTTTCATTAAAATTATTAATATGTTTCTGTTTGTGGAAAAACATTATGTCCTTATTTTTCACAACTGGTTCTGAATTTTTTCCCTTTTCTTCTGAACTCACCTCCCTGTGCCCTCTTCCTCTGTTTACACCCAACAGCTCTCTTTCCTGATCCTAATCCCAAATTACTTTTTTCTTTTTCTGCATAAAAATCCACTCTTATATGTCTGTGTGATTGTTGCTTGTATGGTTCTGCACATCAGAGAGCTTGTCTCAGTGCACAGGTTACCTGGGGGAGGCTGTATGATCCCGCTGTAGCCTCAAGAACTACACTGGGTGCCAGGAGACGCTGAAGACCTACTGAACATGCAGACTGAGAGCAGCACAGCCCATTGTTTGAAGGAATTTATTTTGCCACGGGTGTCCAGCAGATGTCACTAGTCAGTAATATAAAACTGTACAAAGTAACAATAAATTATCTAGCACAATTTCTTCTGCCAAATTTTAAATGGTGCTTCTTTCCTTCATCCAGAAACATGAATCATTAAAATGTGCTTGTGAGAGAAAACTCGTTTTTACAAAGAAATTAGCACAGATCCTAGTCACAAGCCTGAGGCCCTATGCTGTCCTGCTAGCTTCCATGAAGAGTTGATACAGCCTGGGTGTATTACTCAGCTTAACAAAATACCACTGACTAGGTGGTTTAAATGACAGAAATTTATTTTCTCACAGTTCTAGAGGCTAGAAGTCCAAGATCAAGAAAGAACATTATGTCTTTATTGGCAGGTTTTGTTTCTCTTGAGGCCTCTCCTTGGCTGGCAAATAGATGCCTTCTCCATTTTAAAAAAATCTTATTTATTGATTTTAGATAGAGAAAGGAAGAGAGAGAGAGAGAAAAATATATGTCAATTTGTTGTTACACTTATTTATGTATTCAAAGGTTGCTAATCTTGTATGTGCCCTGACCGGAGACAGAACCAGCAACCCTGGAATATCAGAACGCTCTAACCAACTGAACTACCCGGTGAGGGCTGGATGCCTTCTTGCTGTGTCCTCACATGGCCTCTCCTCTGAGCTTGCACTCCTGGAGTCTCTTCCTCTTCTTATAAGGACTCTGGTCCTATTGGATTAGGCCCCCATCTGTATGAGCTCATTTAACCTTAATTAACCTCTTTAAAGGCCCTAACACATTGGGGTTAGGCCTCAACATATGATTTTGAAGGAGACACAATTCAATTCATAACACTGGGTTTCTAAGCTATTTTAAACAATGCTTAGTAGTATTTCAGCTGAAGATAACTATGGATGGAAGGAATACTGAATTTAGGATATAAAGACAATAAGTCAGTAGTTAAATACATTGTAAGTATGTAAGCCCTAGAAGACAGGGATAACTGGTGAAAGGCACCTATCATGCAGAAATGAGTGACTGACATGACGCCAGATTCTTGGTAGACTCTTCTGTTGACTGTATTATAGTCACCACTAGAATCAGATGCTCCCTGCCTAAATGTGGCATGATGCCAAACACACAAATTTACAATTAATGTGCTTTGAAGCTTCAAATTTCTGAAAAAATGAGGTTTTCTCAAAGAAAAGGACTGAAGAACAGAAAGGGTAAATGGAAGGGTAAGAAACATTCCCAGAACAAGATGACATGAAAAAATAATGCTTGTATACAATCCTGAAACACGTTAACATCCCAACTATACAACCAAACAAACTCTGGATGTTATTCCAACTTGCCAATAAAAGTATTTTTTTAAAAAAATAAAACAAACTAACTCTTGGATGTATCCGAAAGTCAAACATTTTAATTATACAAAACACTTTTAGAAAATATATTTTTCAGCTCTATGAAAAAAGGGGGTCCTTCTCAGTGTAGGAGCAATCATGAAGAAAAGGAGAGAATGTATACATTCAATAAATATTTGCTGAGTGCCTGCTGTGTGCCAGGCAGTTCAAGGTATCAGTTACATAATAAAAATTGTGAGTAAATTAAAAAAATAGCAAAATTAAAATAGCACAATTGATGTGGAAAACTTAGCATTAAAAATTTCAAAAGGTTAGCCCTAGCCAGTTTGGCTCACCGGTTAGAGAGTCATCCTGCAGACTAAAGGGTCCTGGGTTTGATTCCAGCCAAGAGCACATACCTGGGTTGCAGGCTCAATCCCCGGCCCTGGTTGGGGTACAAGTAGGAGGCAACCAATCGATATGTCTCTCTCACATCGATGTTTCTCTCTCTCTCTCTCTCTCTTTCTCTCTCTCTCCCCCCACCCCTTTCCACTCTCTCTGAAAAGCAATAGAAAAAGTATCCTCAAGTGAGGATTAAAAATATATATATATGTATTTTTTTAAAGGTTAAAAATCTTAACAAAAATTTACTCAAACTTACAAAAACAATCTAGACCATAATAGATAAAAGGGTAAAGTATTACCAAACTAGTTCCATACAGGAAAATATAAACAGATTTCCCATGTTTAGAAAACACAAATTTTTGTTAATAATCAAAGGAATGCCAAATAAAACAATCTGAGGCACTATTTTACCTCTAAACTAAAGGAGTAGGCACCCAACATATTAGTGAGATGATTTTGGAAAAGAGGCCTTTGCAGGGTATCTTTCTCGCTGCAGCCTAGTCTATAGACCGTCTCTAGAAAGCAATACTCACAGCAAAAGCCAATGCAATGCTCAGTCTCTGACCAGGGAATGCCATTCCCAACACTATAACTGAAGAAATAATTTAAGTGGCTCAAAAATGTATGCAAGAAGTTAATGGCAGCATAATTTAGAAAACGAGAAATAGTAATATTAAAAGTAGTTTTTAGAAGCCATAATGATGAACATGAAAAAAAATGACATATTCATTATAGCAATTAATGCTATATTAATTATAGCAATATAAAAACATATATGTATAGTCCTAGCCGGTTTTCCTCAGTGGTTAGAGCATCAGCCCACAGACTGAAGGGTCCCAGGTTCGATTCTGTCCAAGGGCGCATACCTCAGTTGGAGGCTCGATCCCTGGCCCCCATCCGGGCGTGTGTGGGAGAAAAGCAATTGATATATATGTGTGTATCTCTCTTTCTCTCTCTCTTTCTCTCTCTCTTTTCCCCCTTCCACTCTCTCTGAAAAGCAATGGAAAAAATATCCTCAGGTGAGGATTAGAACTAAATAAATAAACAAACAAATAAATAAAATTATATATCCATATATATATACATACACATATGTACTCAGAACTTAAAATGAAATAGAATGAGGGAATCAGATACCTTTATAATGTTCTGAATGCTGTTAACTTTTTATTAAAAAGATCAGTTTGTTTTTATTTAAGATAATACTCTCTTAAAATAGCATTTTAGCAGTGTCCTTTGAAAGAGAATACATACCTGATACTCGTCGATCAAATCTACTAGGAGGAGGTGGAGCTGCAAAAGAAAGAAGAAACAACATTTAGTCATCACAATGTCATATGACCCCATTTTTACCTTCCCATTTGCAAAGATCTTTAACAACAGAACTAGGCACCTCAACACCGAGTGATGGGTCAAATTCATACTCTTCCATAATCAACCACAGATAGGTCAACATGATAATATAAAGACAATATAGAGGAAACAGATGATGTGTTATAGAACTGTACCCCTGAAATCTATATAATTTCATTAACCAATGTCACCCCAATAAATTCAATTTTTTAAAAAAAGACAAGACAATAGCTCTAGCCAGTTTTTCTCAGTGGTTAGAGCATCAGCCCATAGACTGAAGGGTCCAGGGTTTGATTCCAGCCAAGGTAACATACCTTGATTGCAGGCTTGATCCCCAACCCCAGGGTTGGGACTCATGCGGGAGGCAAACAATCAATGTGTCCCTCTCACATTGATGTCTCTGTCTCTGTCTCTGTCTCTCTCTCTCTCCCTTCCACTCTCTCTGAAAAGCAACGGAAAATATATCCTCGGGTGAGGAAAAAAAAAAAAAAGAAGACAATATAGAAAATAACATGTCTCTTTGAAAACAGGCTCTTTATAACTTCAATGTACTTAAGGTGGCAATTTTATTTCTGCTCACGTCCATGTTCCATTTAATTTGTATCATACCAAGTGAATAAGAAGTCTACAAATTTATTGGTAATGTTATCTCATCAAATGGTTAATTTTTTTCTCTAGTGTTCTTTAAAAATAATCCCAAGACCTCCTAGGCAAAAGCATTTAAATTTCATTTTTAAATAATTTAACGACTATTACACAAAAATGAAAAATAAATTGACCATTAAGTTACACACTCAATATGAGTGGATTTTCTCCTGCCCATGGTTAGTGTAAAAAAACAACAAAAAAAAAACTAGCCTGGCTAGTGTGGCTCAATTGGTAGAGCGCTGTCTCATGCACCAGGCACCAGGAGGTCACTGGTTCGCTTCCATGTCAGGGTACATGCCTGGGTTGCGGGCTCGATCCCCAGTGAGTGGGGTGCAGGAGGCAGTCAATCAATGGTTCTCTCTCATTGATGTTTCTCTCTCTCTCTCTCTCTCTAATCAATAAAAACATATTAAAACAAATATTAGCACACAAATCCAGCTACATATTAAAGGGATCATATACCATGACCAAATGGCCAAGTGGGATTTATCCCAGGAAATTAAGGGTGGTTCAAATAAGAGTATTAAGCAATATACACCATGATAACAGAATGAAGGGAAAAAAGACTACATAATCACTTGACAAAACCCAACACTCGTGATAAAAACAAAACAAAACAAAAACTGGATATACAAGAAACTTCCTCGACATGTTAAAGTCACATGTGAAAAATCCACAGCTAACACCATACTCAATGGTAAAAGACTGAAAGCTTTCTCCCTAAGATCAAGAACAAGATCCACAGACATGATAAACTTTCATTTTTATTCTGTTGTCAAATCATATTTTATATAACTAATTCAAATCAAATACATGCATAGCCCTTATTATTTTTTTATTGATTTTAGAAGGAGTAAGGAAGTAGAGAGGGGGAGAAAAAGAAACATCAATCTATTGTTCCACTTATTTATGCATTCATTGGTGGCTGTTGTTGTTTTTTAAGATTTTTTTTTTTGGTTTTTAGAAAGAGAGGAAGGGAGAGGGAGAGAGAGAGAAACATCAATGTGAGAGTGAAACATCCATCAGTTGCCTCCCGCATGCACCCCAACTGGGAATCAAGCCAACAACCAGGGCATGTGCCCTGACGATGCTCAACAAACTGAGCCACACTGGCCAGGGATTTTTTTTTTTTTTAAATCCTCACCTGAGGATATTTTTTCCATTGCTTTTCAGAGACTATAAGGGGGAGAGAGACAGAGATAGATTAGAGATAGAGACAGAGATGAGATATAGAGACAGAGATAGAGAGATACAGAGATGAGATAGAGACAGAGATAGATAGAGATAGGTTGAGACAGAGATGAGAGAGAGAGACAGAGAGAGAGAGAGAGAGAGAGAGAGAGAGAAACATCGATGTGAGAGACACATCAACTGGTTGCCTCCGGCATGTGCCTTGACCGGGACTGGGGACGAGCCTGCAACCAACTTACATGCCCTTGGCCGAATCAAACCTGGGATCTTTCAGCCCATGGGCTGATGCTCTAACCACTGAGCCAAACTGGCCAAGGAAGGGTTTTTTTTTTAAAGATAGAGAGAAGGGAGAGGAAGAACCATCAATTTGTTCCACTCATTTATGCATTCATTGGTTGTTTCTTGTATGTGCCCTGATCTGAGATCCGACCTTCAACCTTAATGAACTGGGATGACGCTCTAACCAACTGAACTAGCTGGCCAGGGCCTAATAAATGCATAGTCTTTAAAATAAACAATGTGTTAGTGAGGAGAAAATTTTGTACAAAAAATGAGAAAAAAAATAACAAAATAAACATGTGTTGAAATTCACTGAATTTGTTTCACAATATACTGACTTAAAATTTTTAAATGCAAACTTAAAATCACTATTTTCATAAAGCATGCAAAAAAGACAAAATGATTTTTTTTTTTTAAATCCTCACGTGAGGATATTTTTCCATTGCTTTTTCAGAGAAAGTGGAAGGTAGAGAGACAGAAACATCAATGTGAGAGACACACATCGATTAGGCTGGGGATTGAGCCGGCAACCAAGGTACGTGCCCTTGGCTGGAATAGAACTGGGTCCCTTCAGTCCACAGGCTGATGCTCTACCCACTGAGCCAAACCAGCTAGGGCAACAAAACATTTTTTGTTTTTTCTTAAATATATCTTTATTGATTTCAGAGAGAGGAAAGGAGAGGGAGAGAGAGAGAGAGAAACATCAGTGATGAGAGAACCATTGATCTGCTGCAGCCCAAAACCCGGGCATGTGCCCTGACTGGGAATCGAACCCTGATCGCCTGTATCCTAGGTCGATGCTCAACCGCTGAGCCACGCCCGGCTGGGCCAAAACGATTTTTTAAACTCCTAAAGCATTTCCTGTTACTGTGAAAGAGTCCAAAAATGTAAAATAAGTAAATAAAAGTTGACTTGCAGTGGAAAATGTAATTAAAAACAAGAGACTTAAGGCATTTAGCTTGAACGAATGAGTGGATAAAAAGGTAAACAAAATGGGTAAAAACATGCTGCCTGATAAACCTGTGTGCTGTTTTTAACTAGTACATGGCTTATAAGCTTTTATAGGGCCAAAGAAACAACTGCAGTTAAACAAGATACATCAAGGCACACAGAGGATGCAATCAAGACCACAACAAAGGGACCATCTTATTCTAATTTCACCACTGCTTAGGGAGCTCAAAACAGAACACATCAGGCTCTATGTGGATCAGGCGAAATATCCAACCAGCATAACAAGTATGAAATTCTTCCAGCAGAAAACAACACCTAAAATGCACTGCGCTAGCCCGAGGGAAAATAAGTGATTCAGATATGGCCCCTGCTCACAAAGATCTTAGGAGCTGCCTGAGGAGTGACCTCAAATACTCACATCATAATTGTAATAGTGTGATATATACTACAACATGGGTGAGTACAGTATGCTCTGTGAGCACATAGGAAGAGTGTCTACAGAGAGGGAAGGAAGGTCCCTGGTCTACAGAAAGTAAGGTCTAAGCATGATGAGCTGGAAGATGAGGGAGCTTGTGATTTCAGGAAATAAAAGAAGTATGATATGAGCATGAGCAATGTTGAAAAAGAGCACAAAATGAGAGTGAAGAGGTGAGCAAGTGTACTTTGGAAACCATCCTGTGGCAGAGAGACATGCAGGAGTAATCCAGTATAGAATACCTGTCCTCCTGCTCTGCTGATTCTCCACCTGCAGGCTCTCTGCTTCCCTACAGCCCTGGACAGCTCTAAGACCACTGGAATGAGGGTAGGGGACTTGGACACTCCACATAAGGTGGAACTGAACTGAAATCACTTAGAAATGTTCCCTGTGAGTGGATCAGCTGTGGATATAGCACTTCTGTTACATTATGAAGGAAGTGGAGCAAAGGGAGTCATCACAGACTGGATTTTATAAAGATCACTCTGACTGCAGCTGGTGGACGAAGGTAGTAGCTTAGGTTAGATGTGTGGCTGTGGACAGGAGGAAAATAAATGGATTCCAGAGATGTATACACTTTAGTGACAGGCTCAATGCTTACTCCACAAATGTCAAAAAAATAAAATTATATCCTTACAATTACTAAAGACAAAGTATTCAATATGGATATCATTCAATCTATAAATAAGGGTGCTGTCATAGATTCCAAAATCATAAAATGTAAGAACTGCAAAGTACCTATAAAGTCATCTGGCCATGACAACTCACAAGGAACTCTCGTTGATGAATCATCCCCAACTCCTTCCTTTCATTACTCACATCTACTTCTCTAACAACTCATCTGTTCTCCCTCCCACTTTATTTCTTGAATCAGTCTACCTTTCTCAATCTCCACTGTCATTCTAGTGCACCATTTCTTGCCTGGATGACAGCAACAGATCCCAAGCTTATGTTCCCACTGCCAATCCCAAAATACTTTGGAAATGTTTCTGGCTGTCACACTGGCTTTTTTGCCAAGTTCCCTCTCACTTCAAGGTCTTCTCCTAGAATGCTTTCCCCACCACTTTGCCTAGTTAATGGCTATTTCAAACTATGGAATTAAGATGGTGTCTACCTCTCTCAGGGTCGCCTCTTCAGGGAAGCTTTATTAGCCTGCCTGATGAGATCAAATTCCTCTTACAGGCTCTGAGAAAACCAAGTACCTTGCCTTCAAAGCAGTGATGCTGCAGGTGCAATGCTAAACGACGTAAGTGGTTATCTGGTTGATGTTGGTCCCTCCTACAGACTGTGAGGAAAATAAATTAGGTCTGGTTTTGCTTACCAATGTATTCCCAATGCTTGGCACATAACAGATCTTCAGTATAACATTTGCTCAATGTGTTTATAAAATGCCTACTCTGTGCTAGGAGTACATAAAAGCATTCATCCTCCAGAAAACCTGGGGAATTGATGATCACAGGCCTAAAGATTTCAGTGAATGGACAACCAGGAACCCAAAGATCCTGTGAAATGTCCCCATAGCAGCTCTATTCATAGTTGCCAAACTCTGGAAACAGATGAATGGATAAAACATGGT